AGGGGGGGTTAGAGTTAAATAATAAAAATGATTGATGATAATTTCATTAATTACTAATTAATAATTAATTACTAATTAATAATTAATGACTTCAATAATATTATTATTTATAGTTATTTTTTCGGTTTTCGAGTGATTGGCGAGAGGGCGAGGGGGTTAAAGTCAAGTTCGGCTTCAATCTCCAGGAGAGAAAAATGGGATAGGAGAATTAGAACCGGAGATATTTCCAAAAAACTGAAATTTTAGTCAGAAAGTTGAGAGTTGAAAAATAATTCAAAGTATTGTCTCTCCCTATTTCCCCTGGCGAAGCCACTATTTTCCTCGCAAGCCGTCCAATTGTGGAAAATCAGACAAGTTTCTTTCTGACACGCGGACAGCTCGAGAGCTTTTTGTAATTGACTATTTTTTTATTCACTCAACAAAAAATGTGTTTGCACGGATTCCCTCGGAATAGGATTCTCTATCAACACAGGGATGTGGGAGTAATGGAAAGGAGTAGCACTGTATCCCATGAATAGCTCTTTGATTGAACTGTCTCCTCCAGAAACGTTTTTCACGCCACCGCAGTGAGCAAAAAAATGAATACCGAATGGCGTTTTCGCCAACAAAAAGTACAAAGTAACACCGCTGACACGATTTTCCCCACAATTACGAACTCTGAATTATTTTCTTAATACGTCTGACTCGATGAAATGTAATTTCCCGAAATATTTCACTCCATCGACTACTTTGAATACTAAACAAGTGGGAAATTGCGTTCGTCACAGTATAGTCAATATATTTTTTCTAATAAGCAGTAATTTGCTTCCGAATGGAATTTCTACGACGATGTATTTTAAATTGAATTCAATCATTGCCAATGAAATTATGGAAATTATGTGCAAAATGACCATTCGGAAGCTTATTGATAATTTATTAGCAAAAATAACTATACCATATGCAATTTCCAACTTCTTCTTAATTTTCTTTTATTTAAAAAAAAAAATGCTATCTTTTTATATAGTGTATTACATACAATATACTGTACTATAATAAAAATTTTATGCACAAAAGAAAAAAACCTCGAGCAGAATAGATTGACTTCGAAAAACATTGAAGAATTCAAGGCTTCGAAATTCTAAATTTAAAATACAAGATTTTACACTTAGGATTGTTCATTTAATTGAAAATAAGTAACGCACAACCCATACCTCATACCCTAGTGGCTTCACTGAGATAAATTTCCCCGTCAAATACCCCAACCAACTTGTTCGCAACTCTCCACTCTATCGAGTCACTTCTTGTGAGTTTAAAGCGTCACTCTTGTAACTCCATCCCCTTGTAATTCGTTTCTAACCTCCAGCCGATCCTCTGTCTCTCATCCCAACTTCGTCAACTCCTCCGGAATTTAATGAGAGACTTATAACTGAAACTCGATACCCCCCACAGTTAATAGTGGAATTTTAAACTTTCGATTTGATTGAACCTGATTATTTCAGTTTCTTTGACGAACAGACGCCTCTGAATAAGTGAATGAGAATGTTGATTTAAATTCTCGTCGAGTTCAAAATTCTTCATCGCACGGCGAGGAAGTATTTTCGCGACAGAATTTTCATCGACAAAAAGGCGGACACAAACAGCGTTTCCCAAAGTTTTTATTTACGAGGAGTAACAGAGCCTCAACGAAGCTGAGATATTCCTGCGAAAGCTCTCGCAAAAGTTTCGTAACTCTCGATGTACTGAGAATCTCAACTTTATATCTCACGTTGTTTTGATAATGAGGCTCCATCTTGTCGGGAAATTTTCGTTAAGGGGAACCCACTGAATACCAATTTAATAATTTTCTTGCAGTTTAATGTCAGGCCTCCACCGAGTGACACATCCAGGTGGAGGAGCAGTCTCATGCTGCATTATTTATGAATACGGAACAAGTGGGAGAGACTAATCTCGGGAATGAGGAGAGAGGGCCGGGGCGGATAGGAGTCCTCTGGAGATGCGGAAACGCTTAGACTTATGTGACACAACAGTATTAAGACTGCGGAGGCAATTAATCAGAGAAGTGGAGTATGTGAAGAATTCATGGCAGACGCAAGCTCCGGACTGTTTCAACGGGGCTTGGAGCACGGTTCATTAGGAAAATATCTCTATTAGGTTTTTCATTCTGTTTGAAGTGAGTTTCCGTCGCAGTGAACAATTTTTATTAGCTTCCTCGGAAAAATTATGGAATTCACTTTTTCTCAGGCGCGGGGACAAAGGGAAACAAGTGGGAAAGGGCTTTCATCACGACATAGTCTATTTTTGATAATAAATTGGCAATTTGCTTTCGAGGGAAATTCTGTGAGGATGTTTTTTCAATTTAATTCAATTATTTATTGGATTGAACGTTGGCCCAACGTTGCCGCAACGTTGGTGGCCAACATTGCTGTGATTTTTCATTATTAGTCATTTTTGACTATTGACCAGTTTTCAATGAATATCTCGGAATCGAAGGGAGATAGCAAAATTGTTGTCATAACCTTTTTTGTAGAGCCGATTGAGCACTACAACAAATGTAATTACGAAAATTCGCTATCTCCCTTAGATTCGTTAGTATTCCTCAAAAACTCAACTGGGAGATATCGACTTGAACCGTTTTACCACTTCGCTACTGAATTCTTCCATTTGGAGCAGCAGAAAATGTAAAAATTGAGAATGTCATCACGTGATGACTAGAAAGACTTCATCGACTTCAACATAATTTGAAAACTCTGGACACTGAGGGTGTTCCATAAAGAAGAAAACTTGAAAAAACTCAATTTCTCCGCCGGTGCTTTCACCCCTTAATTCCTCAAAAGTAAAAGATCCCTGGATCGTATTCACGACCCTGCATCACTTAAAATTTCCCCGCTTCCTCTCCAGCAACTCGTTAGCACCTTCAGCACTCTCGTTTCACCAACATTTTCACGTTTTGCACTTCATTACCCCCTCCCCCGCACGCTTTTTTCCATGACTGCCGAGTCATGAGACAAGTGGCTCATCTTTCATGCAGGACTTCATTTGTCCCTTCACTTTCAGTTGTGCTAACAGCTAATTTGAGAACAACCCAGCATGATAAATTCTTGAGTGGAGTCTCGCAAAGCCGCTTCATTCCTTACTTCTCCCAGTGTTTTTTATTCTGATTATACCGACGCCACGGTCTGTCATAAATTAACTGGAAAATGGAAACAATGGCGGTAGCATTCCGGAAATCTGGCATGAAACTCCCGCATAATTATGAAATTGGATGGGAAGAGAGCTTTTCATTCGTCTCGTATACGTGAAAGAATGTTGTGACTTCGTTTTAAAAAGCAGTCGCCTCTGCAAAAACTGAAAGCTTTATCATTTCTGTTTGTTTATCCATGCGTGGAGTGAACAAAAATGACAGCAATTCGGGGAGATGAGAAGAATGTAATTAGTTATTCACTCCGGGGAGCGACAAAGGGCCTCGGTGAGAGTTGAAA